TTTTTTGCGTAGAATCACCCCCTTTTCGCTTGTACCACCAGATATCAACCACCCTGTATAATTGAGAATACAGTATTCATGCTTTATACTCTACGTGTTCTATATCAAACTATGACCAAACCATGATTCTTCTTATTTGTAAGTACTGTGTTTATAAAAGCGAACTGATTTTTCCATTTTTCGTAACGATTTTGAATAAGTATTATTAGTGTGATTTTCAACAAATATTGAAATACAATTGGCATTAATTTATCCTCCCTTTATTTCATAATATGTTCCGTTTTGAATTTTGTAAATATCATTCTTACATTTCTTTTATAATCTTTTTTTCAAAATTTGCCAATTTACATTGAAGGTAAAGTACAGTTATGTTATATATTATGATATATATTGTACAGGGTGGTTGGTAACTGGTGGTACAAGCGGGAAGGGGTTGATTCTGCGCGAAAAAAGAAGTCGAAAATATAGAATAACAATTCTTTTTTTAATTTTTACATCGAGACAACGATCTACAGTGAGATCCGTTATAACGAGACGCGATAAAGTGCGCGCGTACCGAGCGAAAATTCAAAGTCGATTTTCTCGAAAACAAAGCCTCGAACGAAAAATTTGTATTCTATATTTTCGACTTATTTTTTCGCGTAGAATCACCCCCTTTCCGCTTGTACCACCAGTTACCAACCACCCTGTATAAATGAAGAAGAACTATGCCAAGTATGCGACAGGAACAAGTCAGGATCGATCGAACACATCCCGAAAGGCTGTGCAACGTATAGTGAACCGACACTAAAAATACGCCGACATAAAGACAGCAGGCAAAGTATGACAGCGAATACTGAAGGCCATGTGAAACGATTGCGTTATTTCGTGAAGCCTGCGCTGACAATTAGTGCAATTTGCTTAGAACGCTGAGACTCCGTTCGGGTTCGATGTTGGTATAATAAATTTCAATAATAATTTAACTAACAATCTTACTTTTTGTAGCATCTCGTCTAGCCTTAAATTTCGTCTCTTAATCGGAAATGCTTCAGAATACTCCGAACTAGACCAAAGTTTCTAGACAACTGCACATTGCGATAAGAGTGGTATCAATATATTTTCCTATCGATTCGCCAAAAACCAAAGGTAGCCGCCAGCGTTGCGGGTTAAAAGTACGGAAGGAAGGTTCTATTGAAAATCTGCGAATCGTACGGAGCCTAAGGTTCCTGTTTCTCTACGTAAATTGTTCTTGAAATTTACAGCATTTGAACAGAAATAAGAAACAATTGGAATAATTTTTTAATGATAAATCTATCACTTGGTAGCGGATGGCTCGTCGACTGTCAGGCAGATTACATTGTGGAAATTGAAGAAATAAATTCTCCTCATCGTCGTTAAAATAATACAAAATATTACAATTTCCAGTAGCTAGCTACAAGTTTCAGAAGCTATCGTTTGATTTAAAAATGTTGTCATTCTGAAGCTCTTCTTCATCTCTCTCTTCTCCTCCTCTTCTTCTTCTCTATCGTATCTTTGCAAATTGTCGAAGATACGATAAATGTATCGACGTTTTGATTGAATCGCACCAAGTGTCTCTCATTCTTCGTTTATGACCACAGACGATTTATATTTAACACGACGTACGTGGCAATAATTTGTTTTTGTTGCGAGGATCCATTAAATGTTAAATTTTGATTTTAAAAGTATTAATAATATAAAATAAATTTTATGATGATTTATTAATTAGTAAAATTTATATATCTATATAAAATGATTTAACATTAAATATTAATAATAATTTAATAATTAGATTTAGTAAATTAATGAAAGTTAAATTTAGGAAACAATTTTAATAAAGATAAATTTAGTGCCAGCAATAGCGGTTAAACTTCATTTGTAAATTAATTTTCTTAATTAATATTTATTTATTCTATATAAATTTAATTAAATTGCAAACGTAAGAGCAGTGCCAAGTTTTGTGTTTCGACGTACGGGCAAAGCTCCATGGCGAATGACACGCACAGATACGCGAAATCTACGACTGACATTTGAAACAGATGGCCCGCGCGAAATTACCGTTTTACCATATAAATACGTGCCATAGTTCCATCGGTTTTTTTATTCGCCTAATATCTTTTGCTAATAATCTATGCACGAATTCCCAACCATTAATATCATTTTGCTTTAGTTATTAGTATCAAGTAGGTCAACGATAAATTGTTTGAGCAAATGCTACTGTGGCGGATGAAAAGAGAGTTGTGCGTTTCGTCCTCTTTTCTTCCAATGTTAAACGGATATTTAAGGTGTACGAGTGAAGTGGGCCACCCGGTATATGGGAAGTGTGCAATTATTGTAATTTGCTCGCGAATACTCAGAATCGGTAGGATGTGCGAAATAGTTCTTTTCTTCCAATGTTAAACGGATATTTAAGGTGTACGAGTGAAGTGGGCCACCCGGTATATGGGAAGTGTGCAATTATTGTAATTTGCTCGCGAATACTCAGAATCGGTAGGATGTGCGAAATAGTTCTTTTCTTCCAATGTTAAACGGATATTTAAGGTGTACGAGTGAAGTGGGCCACCCGGTATATGGGAAGTGTGCAATTATTGTAATTTGCTCGCGAATACTCAGAATCGGTAGGATGTGCGAAATAGTTCTTTTCTTCCAATGTTAAACGGATATTTAAGGTGTACGAGTGAAGTGGGCCACCCGGTATATGGGAGGCGTGCAATTATATTAACTTGTTCGCGAATACTCGAAATCGGTAGGATGCGCGAAATAGCCCTCTGTTCTTCCAATGTTAAACGTATATTTAATGTGTACGAGTGAAGTGGGCCACCCGGTATATGGGAGGCGTGCAATTATATTAACTTGTTCGCGAATACTCGAAATCGGTAGGATGCGCGAAATAGCCCTCTGTTCTTCCAATGTTAAACGTATATTTAATGTGTACGAGTGAAGTGGGCCACCCGGTATATGGGAGGCGTGCAATTATATTAACTTGTTCGCGAATACTCGAAATCGGTAGGATGCGCGAAATAGCCCTCTGTTCTTCCAATGTTAAACGTATATTTAATGTGTACGAGTGAAGTGGGCCACCCGGTATATGGGAGGCGTGCAATTATATTAACTTGTTCGCGAATACTCGAAATCGGTAGGATGCGCGAAATAGCCCTCTGTTCTTCCAATGTTAAACGTATATTTAATGTGTACGAGTGAAGTGGGCCACCCGGTATATGGGAGGCGTGCAATTATATTAACTTGTTCGCGAATACTCGAAATCGGTAGGATGCGCGAAATAGCCCTCTGTTCTTCCAATGTTAAACGTATATTTAATGTGTACGAGTGAAGTGGGCCACCCGGTATATGGGAGGCGTGCAATTATATTAACTTGTTCGCGAATACTCGAAATCGGTAGGATGCGCGAAATAGCCCTCTGTTCTTCCAATGTTAAACGTATATTTAATGTGTACGAGTGAAGTGGGCCACCCGGTATATGGGAGGCGTGCAATTTTAATCAATGCACTCAAATATCCCCGAAACTAAGCGAAATCCGCTTCGTTTTTCTTCTCGCCGTGTTTTACTGTTTCAAGCGAAATCGATACCAATGTCATGTGCATTTAGTCGATGAAAGGATACCACAGACATCTCAATTTAGAAAAACATGCGAACAAAATTTTGAATATGGAACAGCTCCATAGTGTATATAGATCTTTTAATTAGAAGAATTAGTTAGTTGCATATAGAAAGACCGATGTCGGTGCGTTCTTTGACTGCCGATGAAGCTAACTGTCGGCGAAACGTGAGAAATCTCTTTCTATTGGATGCGGTCTGGTAGCCTGAAAAGCCTGGTATTAGACGCAGCGTGCAGCGTCCTGAGTTGCGAAAGTTCGCTAATAATGTTAGTGGAATTACAGCGAAACAGGAGGACCGAGATCGCGACTTGGCTCGAGAACTTGATTAATTCTTCATTTTTGCTCGGTGAATCGTCGTCGTCGTCGTGAACGTTAACCCCACAGCCTACAGTCTAATAATAAGACGTTCCAGATGCCTGTTCCGCTGAAAAATATCTCTCGTGCGCTGGTATTCTACGTGCCGTTAATTTTTCACGTCGACCGAGCCAAGACGAATATTTCGAGCCGCGAGCCCCCATTCTAATTCACTTGGTGCCGTTTCCACCTCTTTCGGGACAATCAGAGACCCGAGCAAAAAGTGTGATCCCCTCGTGTCAGCGGCGGAAGTAACGCCGCTGGCATGTGGAACCGAGCGCGATAGATCAAGTCGATCGGTCCGATAGCTTCCGCTTGGCCTTCCTCAAAATCCACGTACAGAAATTCTCCCATCCAACTGAATTATACAACGCACATGCAAATTTTCTCTGATAATTGCTCCAACACTTGCACATGTATTACCTGCAACTTTGTCTGCTCTACGCATCGGAAATTTACTCGACGCCTAAAGAAGCTACAAATCGACGTACAGAAATGTACTTACCACATCAAACAATGTCTGTGTGTGAAGCGTTTCTGTAGAAAATTGTAGAACGTCTTATATAACGCGCGTACTACGTACGTACATAGAAAGTTTCTCTGCTAACTGTTCAAATATTTCCACGAGCCACTGCAAACCAAGTCGACGAGCAACGGCGAAAGCACGCAGCCCGAAAATCGCTCTCGTCGCTCACCTTCACCCTCGTACGTATTCACGCCGTGGTATTCTTAACAAAAGCGGATCGGCTATAACCGAAGGCGTCAGAATTTCTGGCGCAGGACGACGTCGGGTTCGAGGCCCCGAGTACCACTCGACGAACCATCGGTATCTCTCTGCCAACCCCACTTTCCCACCCCTAAAACGCGCTCGCGAAACAACACCGAGAACACGCTCGAAATACGCGCGCGCGTCGATTCCACCGAGCGGACGCTTCCGTCGTCCCAACATCCCTCTCTCTCTCTGTCTCTCTCTCTCTCTCTCGGCCTGTGCACCCTCAGTATCAGGGGCTCCATCCACTCGGAACTCAGTGCTCTCTCGCACCCCGAGCCGAGAGTACCGCAGGAGGCCAGAATCGCGATCTCTCGCTCTCTCTGTATCCTCGTTCGTGTCTATTTTCTTTCTCCTTACCCTCTTACACAGCCTCGCATTTACAACATACTCAGCTTCCCACACGTTCGTATCTCTCGCGTTATCGTATAATCAATTATACATGTAAATATATATATATATATATATATATACATATATGAGCCGTTTAGCTACGAAATCGGTTAACTCCGCGAGGAAACAAATGGAATTATATGAGATAAGCATCGTTCGCGCACCAGTGATTTGCCATTGAAATGTAAAAAGTTTGAGAAAGAGGAGTTAACCACTTTGACCTGCGGACGGCTCGTACAAATATATATATATATATACACACACATATGTACATGTTGTACAGATGACACACGGAGACAAAAGTTTCATTGACCAGTGAGAAACGTGGTGGCGGTGGTGAAGACCGGTAGTGGTGGCAAGAAAAGTGGTAGTGGTTGTGAAAGTGGTGGTGGTTGGTAGGGGGTGGTGATACTTGTCGTAGTAAATATGGTGAATTTTCACGGAGACACACCCCCGGAGAAGACGTGACACTAGGGGGATGAGAGGACCGGTGATCAGGCTCGCGGTTGGATTTAAGTCCCGCAGCAAGCGACTGGTTCTTAGACTGGACCGGGTGAGGATCCCTAAGAGAACGAGTTTCGCCGCTTCTTCTCTTTCCAGCAAGACGCCAGATTGCGTGGTTATCTGGGTTAATGCTTTATTAGCGTTTTTTTTCTTTTTCGTTCAGGTTGCGTAGCGCCTTGTTAATTGGGACGATCAAACGCCCATCCACCCATTTTGCAGCTGGTGCTCGCTTTTAGGCGCCGCGTGTTTCTATGGGATTCTCGCGTTTTCCTGCCTTTTTACCGTGATTCATAGAATATACTTGTTCAACAGCGCGGATGACTTCAGGTAGAATCGCCCTGAGACGATACATTTGACAAAAACTGAACCTTCTATGGCGAAATAGAACTCGACCTATCGCGGTTCCCAGTATTTTCGCCGAAAATCCGTACAATGTTCAAGATGGTCAACGTTATCAGTCGTTTTGGGCTGATTCGACATTCATCGCCAGTTTCTTTTGTTTACCCTTTGATTTGGGTGGCGTTTTACGCGACTCCACGCACGCGCCAACATCTAAGGGAGTTGTTGACGGCTAATTTCATTTATTCTTAATTTTGCGTATTTTGTTTGACGCTCAATTTGGATAGCTCTCGGTATTTCTGATCGTATTTCGATGATCATTCCAGGAGGACCGTTTACCATATTTTGAGAAACATAGAGTGACGGGATGATAGATGTTGGGCTATTTAAATGTACAGTATGGAATATTGAAATACGAGGATGTGGAAATTTAACACATGTCTGTGATTTATCGTGGCTTATATCGTACATCTGCTAGAGCCACGCCACTTTCAAGGATAGTCGGTTTTATACGACTTTTACGAACAATGGTCATAAATGGTACAATTGAATTATTTTAGAAAAATGTTTCATACGCAAATTCTTTCAATTTTACTTATATCTCTCGACAGTACGTATTTCAGTGTTTTTTCTTTTTGTTTGATTCAGAGACTGTGTACATGCCTAAGGCCACAAATTACTGTTGTTTGTAAAGCTGTTCGTAATACGAGATTTTGTTTGGTCGAGAGAACGTTGAAGAATGTCGGTTCGTTAGGTGTTTCGTATTAATCGTAAATCCTTTTCTCTTCGGCTGTGAGAATTAAATTCTCGGTTGATTACAGCCTCTTAGAAACTGTAACCGGATTTTGGAAAATCAAGCTTCGCTGCTGTTTCGAACGCCGACTGCAGCAACCAACGGCGTTTCTACTTTAATAGAATTTTCTATGAAAGAATTTCCACTGAAAAGAAGGATGACAGACGATCAGCGTTTTTCACTCTGCCACGAGAAACGTAATCGAATTTTTCCCTTTTCCGTGAATATAAATCATGGTTGATTGGTGTTCCATGTTGTAAGAGATTTCTCTTTTTTAAGTTAATTCTTTGCAATAACGTTGATCGTCATGATTTATAGAATTAGCGACTTAGTCAAAGTCATTGGTCGAGTTTTATAATTTAAAAAAAATATATTTGTTTGCAAGAACGTAAACCTTAGAAGAAAAATTTGAAAGCAATCTTCGACAATTTCACCATATGAAATATCCAAGAATTTTATAATATTAAGAAATATTAAGAATTTTAATATCCAACGTTATTACAATTGGAATTTTGTAATTTTTATAAGTAGAAAACATTGCAACGAATGTAATTACTCGTTGTTATATAATGTAATTATTAATTTCTAATTTGTCTACTTTTCCTTTTCACAGTAAAAATGATAGCTTTAGTCAGCTTTCTTGCTACCTAGCTTTCTGTATGTAAAAGTAAATTTCTCTTCTCATTCTGGTTATCCGGCTGTGATACTGTTCCTCATTTAGATAGCAGAGAAGGAAAGTCCAACGGTATATATATTTCTACGTAAAATGAAACGCTGCCTCTTTCATCTTGATCACGATTTTCTTTCTTCGACTGTCGAATGCTTGACACGGTTTTCGATATTAAACCTACTGAATATTGGAACATTCTCTCGTATCGACCATACAAAATTTCCTTAAACGATCGATCAAACATTGTTCTAACTAAAACGTGTTACGCTTCCTTCGCAAGATTAAAAGAATTTCATTTTTTCGCCTGCGAAGAACGAAGAAAAGGGAACGAGATTGAATTGCCTTTGGTAAAAACTGAAAGCTCCTATTTAAGGGGCAAATACCAAGGAAAGAGTCTTAGGTTTCATAAATGGAAAAGAAGAATGGAATAAGTCGATTTACCGAGTCCTACGTCTGCAGTAAGAAAAAAGAATTTATGTATTTAGAATGAAGATAGAGTATACGCCATTGTTTCGAATTCCTGTGGAAGCTTTTGTTACGATAGACCATCATGGGTTGTTGACTTTGCGAAATGAATTCCCACCAAATACATATTAATCCATATTAATTAGAGATTGGAATATATCGTTATGTACATTGCAGGCAGTGGCAAACTGCGGCTCTTCTTCTTGTTAAATTAAATTTACGATCAGCCAAATATAATTAATAAAATTCTTAAAAAGGAAAACTTGATATTTCGTTTGAGGATTATTTTACATTCGTTGAAACGAACATAAATACGAACATTATCGAGGTTACTAATAGTTCGAAACGAAAGTAGAGGTTAGGGCTGACAAAGAACATAACCTATTTATTTATATTTATTTACCTATTTACCTATTTATTTATACATAACCTATCATCACTAATTCATTTATACTGTTCGTTGTATTAATTTGTAATCGACGTTGAAACAACTGTCTGCTTTATTTGATACTATGGAGCAAAAAAAAAAAAGAAAAAGTGTAAATCCGATTACGAGCCATGGAAATGGAAATGGAAGATTTGAGAAACGCCTGGATTCGCAAATGGGCCTCGTTATCCTTTTTCTTATTTCCCTTTCAAAGTATTCAACGCCATACAGAGTCGGGCCAACGTTCGATTGGTTTTTGACTTGGGAAAGTGTGTCATCGCGGGTTGAAACGCAGCTTCAGACCTTTGAAACAATTTTCCAGGCCCGCCACAAATTCGATTGCAAGAGCACTCTGCGCTAATTAGGCTTCAAATCGAACTTAAGAGAGCGAGCACGCGTTTGTCATAATTAACCCTTAACTAATAATCGTGGCGGCATTAAGCCATTAGGTCGTTGCCACTCGATATCTCCGAGCTTCAGCCATTGTGTGTTGTTTCAAGGAAGCCGATGGAATTTGATGGGCCGAGCCCCATTCTTTCTAATCTATCTTCTTCTGAAACTGTTCTACGTATATCGAATAATTGAAGAATTTATTTTCAGAAATTTCGTAGAATTATAGAATTACTGTAAAATTGATTCATTTGCATTGGTATACGTAGAAGAATTAATTTCTTGTTTCAAAGAAATCGGTAGTATCTGTTGGACGAGGGAATTTCTTGATCGATGGACGATGATATTTTATTACTTTTTAGTAATTAAAAAGCCAAAATAAGTTTAAAAAGGGCTAATCGAGACGTAATCGAATGTATAAAAATATCGATCGTATTATTCGAAGTGTGTGCAAGAGAATTTGAAATAGGCTGGCGCGTTTGAAATGCACTTTAAAATTGGAATTAAAATAAAACGGTACAACTTCCGCAATTTATTTGAAAGTTTTAAGTGCCCAGCCACCAACCCTGTACCCTTTTACGCAAGTTTTCATTTTAAGTGAATTAATTCAGCAAGCCGAAAGCTTTGCATTATTTCTAGTAAAACAGAGTACGTAAAAGCGCTAACGTTCGAGTACATATCTCGCGAAATACATTTCCATGAAAAGCAAAAGGCTATCGAAACGCGAAATTTTCCAACTTTCCGATAATCAAGCGACTCTTTAGATTTTGCTACTAACCTAACCTATCCTAACCTAACATAACCTCGTCTAATCTAACCTAACCTTATCTAACCTAACCTAACCTAACCTAACCTAACCTAACCTAACCTAATGACAAAATTCGCAATCACTTGGTTGCCAACTCAATACATCATCTTCCATAAGTATTGGGACTAAGTATCAAAAAATTTAAGTCTAATTTAAATCTAAACAATCGTTAAAAAATTATTCTGAGAATCTTAAGAATTATCATTTCGTCCGAGTTATTATAACAATAATCGTCAACTTTTGTTTCGATAGTAAAATTCATTTCTTTTCTATCTAATATTTCGATTAATTTTGGCATTCATTTTGTTGTTCATTTGTTGTTATTCAGTTCCATACACGTTATGAACAATTTTAGAATAACAATTCTTTTTTTTTAATTTTTCTATCGAGACAACGATCTACAGTGAGATCCGTTATAACGTACTGCACGCGCACCGAGCGAAAATTCAAGGTCGATTTTCTCAAAAACAAAGCCTCAAACGAAAAATTTTTATTCTATATTTTCGACTTCTTTTTTCGGGTAGAATCACCCCCTTTCCACTTGTACTACCAGTTACCAACCACCCTCTATAATTACTGTAATTTATTGTGTTATTGAAATTCCTGTAAATGTGTTGCTCTTTTTCTATGTACAGATATGTTGGATTATAACTTTCTATAAACACAAGACTCTAATCGATTGACTATTTACTTTTGATCATTTGGGCTAGTTATTGCATTCTACGTTTCTTACGTCCATGCATATTAAATGTTAAAATTAAATTCTCCAAATCATTCAATTTTTCGAACTGTTTCAAGGACTACTTTGTTTCGTTATTCTAAACCCGCAAGACTGGATTTTAAAATTCGAGAATCTTAAAACGGAGCTATTACGGTCCCTACGTTTATAAATCTCTCGAAGACAATTTACGCGTGAAGAAACTGCTCGAGTGGATTAGGTCTTTAATCTTCCCCAAATGCTAATTTTACGTTTCCAGAAAGCTTCGTCGCGCTTCTTCCAAGTCGAAGTTCGCGTAAGGAGATCGCACGAATATTCCGACTGTACGTGAACGTGGCGGTAACCAAGTTTCACGTTGCTATCAAAAATCTTCTGAACGTCGAATGTACCAACTTCAAAACATGTAACAACTTCAAAAGCAAACTTTAAAAAAAAAGAC